ATCCCATTCATTGCTCATCACATACTATTAGGTGATTTCAGATGACGCCGAGGCTCTGAGCCCGTACTATTACGTGATGAGTGTACATCACGCATTGATGAGAATTTACACGCCGCGTGTATGTTCAAATGTTCGTAACTTCGTCAATCCTTACTTGATTCTCAAAACCGAAATATTTAGGAAGAGAAAACTCTCAGCTTGTGATTGCAACAATCGCCGAAGTAGTATGATCAACAATTGTTAGATTATGGCACTCGACGGACACCCATATCCACACGTGCTCAAAGACTTTTTCTACGCAATTGCGGGCACTTGACTTCCTTTTTTCTGAGCGTTTTTCCCGCTTGGTGCCATGACAACTTCAGTATATATTGAGCAGTGGTCTCGCGGGTGTGTTCAAAATAATTTGAGTTCCATACGGGCAAGGAGAGCTGAATAGCGGCTGAAAGAAAATTTTCTTTGACTTGCACAACTGCCCTACGGCTTTGGACAAATGAACTTGGATCTAAAGCTGTCTCCAACCTCATGAAGGCTGGTGCTTCAGGACCTTTTTTGCGGCGTGTTTTCAGAAAAAACAATAGCCCGTTTTCGCTGGTTCTTAGAGGGCCCTGCCGGTAGTATCCCACAGCAGTCAAAGGGTTGATCAAACAGACAGACAGATATATAGGCAAAACATTTATTAATGTGCGCAAGCTCCACTGCAGCCACTTCATTAAACGGAAAACCTTACACACACACCATCTTCAATCCAAGTGGTCTCTTCGCTGCAAAAAATAATTCTCAATCAATCAAATTTTCGGCCAGGAGCCGAAAATTTGATTGATTGAGAATTACTATTTGCAGCGAAGAGACCACTTGAATTGAAGATGGTGTTTGTGTAAGGTTTTCCATTTACATGTAGATATATAGGCAGAGAGAAAAACAGACATATGGACAACCAGACAGATGAACCCCCGGCAAGTTGCATTTCATTGAGTGGATATTTCTTTACACAGAAAACGGCTACTTCCTCCGTTAAGTAAAACTTCGTAGCATTTTTTGTGTTCTTGTCAAAAAATTTCTGTCGCCATTAGACAAACATGTCAGTTATCTATCCCCTAAATAGGGTAGCCGCAGTGTCGTCCTTTGTTCTGACAGGCTTTTAAACCTCCGAAAAGCATGGAGTCCTTGAAAAAATCGGCGAAGCATTACCTTTTCTTGACAGGATGTCACCAGAACACAACCCAGGCACATGACACCGAAATGCGAAAATGAGAAACAGTTTGAAAGACCGCGTGCATACAGAAGCGTTCCAGCCACTGCTGTACCAGCACGATGGCACGCGTCAGAACACTGCCAAAGAAAATGAATGCACGTGTGTTTGCGGCGCATGGGGAAAGCAAAAGGGTTCGACATTCAGGTTGTTGTTCAGCCTGCGCAAAGTCCCGATCTCAACGTCAACGATTTGGCCTTCTTCCACAGCCTGAAGAGAAACGTCTCACTTGTGGAAATGGAGACCAGAAAGGAACTTCTCCAGGCTGTGGAAACGCGCTGGCACGAGTACAGTAAGATCGGGCGCCGAAGAACGCAGGGGCTCGAGCGCAGCCTAGGAAAGTTCTTAAATTTTTGATTCTAGCCAGTCTACGTTCTTCACACGCGCGCGGCGAGTCGAGTGACGTCATGACGTTTGTCATGTACATGTACATGTACATGATGTAGTGCAATGTAGTACATGTACTTCTAAACTAGTGGGTGTCGTAAATGGGAATGACTGTACATGTAGCAGTTACTGTTTACACGTGTACATGACATGTACTCACCTCCCATACATGTACAATGTAGATCTACGTGTAAATTCGCAACTGTGTTCTTAAATCTGATAATTCTAGCCTGGACTGTTCTTAAATTTTGCCGCTTTTCCAGCCTGGGTGTTCTTCGGCGAGGTGTTCTTCGGCGCCCGATCTTACTGTACCCCGCTGACAAGATGAGGAGAGTTTGGTTGTGTCCGTATGGCTCTTTCCATGGCATTCTGGAGAGTTCTGAGCAGCAGAGACAACAACTACCAGCTCAGCCGTGGAGGTCGTCAAGCTTAAAGTTCAAGCGAAGAACTTGGCGATCTCCACGATCAAATCGTGTCTCGGGAACTTGTAAAGGAAGCAGGACAAAAACTGGCAGCGCTGGAGGCGAAAATCTGAGAAGATGCTGACTCGATGTCATCAATGAGCGAGTCCTCATCAAATTCAGACAAAGAATGAAGCTTGACTGCTTTGAAACGAGCTGTGTGACATCTGTAAATAACTATCTCTCATATGCTGCTTTGCTTTCCACTTTGCGAAGTGTGTTGGTAGCCATAGAATGATTTGGACTGAACTGTAAAAATGCAACGAACTTTTGCTTAGCGGAGGAAGTACGAGTACAGGTCGTCCCCCGTTAATACGAGTCCGGTTAGTACATAAACCCCGTTAGTACATATGAAATCTCAAGTCCCGGACGAAACGTGGTCACTTCCATACAAATTTTGTCGGTTAGTACATAATTCGTTAGTACATAAACCCCGTTAGTACATAACATTTCTCCGTACCCGCATGCCACCTACCTCAATATTACATAATTTTTTGGTCTCTTGGCCTTCCAGTGCAGGCACATCGTGTCCTAGTTTCTACTTGTGGACGCAATTAGCTCAGAAATCAGAGTGCACATCACAAACCGACAAAGCTCTGTTTTTTCCGAGTGACTGTACACATGATACAGGCGCGACTGCACTGGGCATGTATCATGTAAACTGTAGAATCTTCGCTAAATCATAATGTGACCGTTATAACATAATTTTTATGTTATATCGAGGGAATCAAGAATATCTCGCTGCCTAGTCATGGTAGCAAGAAACACTCAGAAAAGTTGAAAAAGTGAAAAATTCTAGTACACAAGCAAGTTATGTACACTTTCGTTTAGTACATAAACCCCGTTAATACATAACATTTCTCAAGTCCCAGAGATTATGTATTAACGAGGGACGACCTGTATTATTATCAAAACATGCTTCCATACGGTACAACTTACTCTTGCCTCTGATCAAGATTCAGTGGAAACTCTTGTGCACGTGCTAAAGGTCCAGAAGCACAATCATACACAAACATATGCAACCATACACACACATACACCCAAGCCCACCACACAAACACACACACATACACACATACACATACACACATACACACATACAAACACACACACACACATACACACATACAAACACACACACACATACACACAGACACGCACACACGCACACACAAACACACAAACACACACACACACACACACACACACACACATGCAAACACACACACACACACACACACACACACACAAACACAAACACACACACACACACACACACACACACAAACAAAATTCATAGTCACAAACATTATAATGGAGTAGACTGCTAGCTGTGCGGAGATTGAGTATTTTGAAGTCACCAGGAACATAGAGTCGTCAGTAACAAGAAGCAGTACACTGCCAGGGCTCACCACTACCGTTCAAAATTCAATTTACGTGGACCACCATCTTTGAGAAAAGGCGATGCCCACTGGAGAGCTCTGAGCCATTCATATCAAGATTCTACACCAAGATATACAGAAGCTGAAGTGTTGCTTTCCGAGTCTTACTTTTAAAAATACAAGGAATGCGTTATGAACAAACCTGGAATGGCATTGTTAGCCAAAGCATTCAACTGGTACGCCAATGGACGTAGCTGAGGTATTTCTGACATCCCGCTGAGAACGGTGTCAAATGATTCATTCCCACGTATCCTCAGTTGTTCCAGCAGGCCAGCAGATGAAGCCTGAAGATTGGATCGGTTGAGAATTCCAGCTCGCAGAGCTATGTTGCGCAATGAATCTAGAGGAAGCTGTGTTTCCAACGTGTCTCTGGCCTAGAAATCATCATTTCGAATGGAATACATAGACATCACACAACAAACTTTAGTACCAGTGGTAACGGCATATGTACTGGTACCTAATAAATTGATTTGATTCCCGGAATAATTCACAGTTTCATGTACGGTTCATACTCCCGAAGTCAACAAAAATACGAATGTTGGGGGGGGGGGGGGCTGGGAGTGCATCGCATAGACCCCGGTCCAGCTAACACCACAGACAAATACGGCAATTGCTAGACCTAAACTACGCTATTCCGGGTTTGTGCAAAGCTTGGAGTCACACGCTCTAGCATTTCAAAAAGGATCTGAGCCCGTGCCATGATGTGTTTTGAAGTCCTGAGTACATTCGTGAGTATATAAAGGATGAGTTGAGATGATCGTAGCTTCAAAAACTCGTACACGGGATGAATACAAGACAGGCACTTACTAATCGCCAGAGCTGAACTTCGCTTTCTGCATATGGTCTCTCGTCACGAGCGATCAAACTGCTGGAAATAGATGATAGAGCTCGACCAGCGCAACATTCGGGATCCCCCAGAAGCGTCCTGATGCACAGAAGAACAGGAGACAAAGAAACTTTGTCGGGAGAGAACTTCCTAAACACACAGTGTCCGTGCAACACAACTAAATCACAACTGCGGAAATGTGACTGTATTGGAAGATCTCCACACTTGAGATACATTTATTGCAGGTCGCGAAAGGATTCAACACCCTGCCATGTTCATGCGCTTAAAAAAATTTCAGCATGGCAGTAGATACCCCACAGGAAAAAATTGAACACAAGAAGGTTGAAAATACCTTTTCAAACTACATATGAGCCCGAGCGCGCTAAAACATGACCGCAGCTTTTTTTGAAAAAGTCGAGATAATCGCGATTTGAATTCCGCGGCAAAAAATACGAAGTGCAGTGCAACGCGAATCGCTGTTGTTGTTCTCCTCGGTCGACTGGACTGTTCCGGATGCAATTCTTTGTTGCAAGTAAGTTTATTTGTTAGAGTTTGTATTCCATGTTGCGCTGAGTCGCCTAAAACTGATCGTCATCGATGTATCGACAGAAGAGCCTAGTAATAGTAATGTACTGCGGAGCGGAAGAAGACGACATCATCGCACTCCATGCGCAGGATAAAATATTTTGAGGATTCGAGTCGGAAACAGAAGGAAGACGATGATGGCTACAGCGACGAGTCATTTGAGGGCGACACTTTCATCGAGCGTAAAAAGAATTGATGCTGGTAGTCCCACGATCTGCAGTGACGAGGAATTCTACTCTGATGACAACCTGGCAAGCGATTGGCATCGACACTGACTTGGGAGGTGAGTCGGCCGATGATTTGGCCAGAATGGACATCGCTGCACATATCCGGGACAATGCCAGTATTGGTTGCAAGTGCAAAAAAATCACTGGACTCTGCTGCTACCTCAGCTTGCTCAAGTCGATAATTTGAGTGCCCTTATGCGGAACATCGCTAGCATGAGCAGTATGCAGCGAAAGCAGTACTCTCTGGCGAGCGGAGAAAACCGTGTGCAGATGGGCTTTGGTGTGGGGAATATGAGTGCGACGTCTAGTATGTTGAGGAACACTGTGTGCAGCAGTGTATACTGTATATCTCAAAGTACAGGTGGAGTGTGATGGAGAGGACATGGAGTGCCAACTTCTTCGGCCATCTACAGATGTTGACCGTGTTTTAGCTGGCGGTTCTCCAGTGGTGCTCCAAACAGGAGGTATTTCGGACACCCAGCTCAGCTGCCTATAGACAATTTGGATGTGGCTGAGTACCTGTCAGCTCATGCTATAAGACCCTGGACAGAGGAACTGACCCGGAAAGGATGAACCAAGGGGCATATCAATTGTGTGCAAAAATGACAATCCTGTAGGAGAATTAGACTATTATTATTACATACCGAAGGTTTATACAATGAATAAGAACAAATGCAAAGGAGCCATCAAAACTACGCTCCTTTCCGCACAAAACAGCAAGAAAGAACCAAGGAACAAAAGAGATCGCGTGCCTTGCGCACGCAGGCACGACAGGCTAAATCAGGTACAGCAGAAGAGAATACGTCATGATGTACAAGAATGCATAAGTACTGACGCAAGTCAGTACGACGTAAGAAGAGCAGCATGAAGTAGTACACTGTACACATCAAGGGGGGTCATTCTACTTCAATCCCATGGCTGTACATAGAATTTCACCATTTCAACAGTGCTGCATATACTACCATTGTAGCAACACTTAGTCATGTCGGATCAATCCAAAACTTTCAGACAGTGAACATTAGGTGTGTTAGATCATTTTTGAACAAAAAATTGAAAATCGAATTTTTGGTCTGTGGTCATATTTTGGCGTGCTCTGGCTCATATTTCGTTTTCTCTAGAAGACTGGGCAGCATTCAAGTGTTAATATCGTTCGAAATTTTTGAATATAATTCAGGATTCTAGCCAGATTAAAATAGTAGGGGGGGGGGGCATGGGAAACAGTTACCCCGTATCCCATTTTTTCCACTTTCCAATATTGTCTTGCCACGCTAAATGCAACGTATGGGGCGAATCCCCGACTTCGCCTCAGACAAATGTGCCTGTATGAACCATCTAATAGTAACTTTTGACTGCATTTTCGTTGAATTGCATGAAAACACGAAAATCGGAAAATCAGTAAGGGGGGGGGGCACTTTTTCACAGGGGGGCGCGCAAACAGAGTAGGGGGGGGGGGGGTGGGGGGGCGCTGCGTCCCCTACCCACTTAGGCTAGAATCCTGGTATTGATCAACACCGATCTACCAATGTATGGTCAGTCCATGAAAGGATAATTTTTGGTGAAAGCACTGCATCTCATTCTCACCCCCCTCCTCAAAACTGTTGATTGTCCCTTACCGTTCCTTTTCATGGAATACTTCTTTAAATCGATCTGGAAGTGAAGAAGAATCAAGAAAGGACCAACAGGAATCTTCACAACACACTTCCTACACAATTTCGACAGATATATGGGCATTACATTACCTCCATTCGACAAATTATCACACACAACTCAAGGCATTTAAAACGAGCACTTCAAGGCAAGCACAGAATGAGACTGTAGAACCCAGTTCACAAGATAACCAACACGCAGCGTCACCTTCAATAGTGCGAAACATTTATCATGGGAATGGTGTAAAACAGGAGCATCAAATAAGGGGCCATCCGGCATTATCGAGAATTTTCACGGAACGAAAAAGTTTAGTTATGACCCTCCCCCACCCACCCACCCCATTCAATGAAAAATATACTGACTTGACAGCTATAATTGATTGATGTTTCAGCTATCAATAATTTTCAAAACGAAACTCTCCTCAGCCCAGCCACCCATATACGAAACTTGTTCTCTTCGTGAAAAAGATCGATAATTACGGACGGCCCCTAATGCGCCTTCACGCCGGCAGTTGCTGTCTCATTTATGACGCAGTATGAGCAAAAATATCTTTTAAAGTCTTGGCAAAAAAGTGGAAATGTAGTAAACTTAGCACCACAAAAAGCAAATGTTTCAGTTTCACATATTAGAGACCAGTAACAAACTGTCACGCTAACGGTCAAACGATTGGACAACTCCGATTTCCAATCGTCAAAGCATGCAAGGCACGAAGCCGTGCGTTGAACCATTGAGACACGCGAGGCGTGATGCGTGCTTCTGACATGTCACAAGACTGTTGGCAAGGAGATGACCAATCGCATTTTTTAATCGAGAAGGTGGTTGAGTCGTGCTTTCAAGCGCGATACGCGATAGGAAGATCGAAGTGCATGTTCATGTCAGGAATCCAATCAAAAAAGGCTTATACATGTTCTATCAGCAAATCACAGCCCTTCGCGAAGTATATACAAGTTCGATATGAGTGTCAAGCGTGGGTGCATGTCAGAAATGTAATCAAAACACTCCTAGTCGTGTTCGATCAGCTTTCATCACAGCCCTTCGCGCAGCGCGCGGCCGGCTGTGATTCCATACATCAACCGGAATCGTAATTGTTTCGTGATCACCCGTTGGGGCTGCTCCAATCGTGCTCACGAAACGATTCGAGTTTCCCGCGCGCCTGCCTCGTTCCCAGTTTGTCCCAATCGTCGCTCCCGACGGTTTGCTAATGGTCTCCACTGACAAATCCTTCTACGTACCAATGATGTCTTTGGCGAGGGTACGATAGGCACCACGTTCATCATACAAGGCCTGCAGCAAGCAAATGCAGGCCAGGTTACCGTGTGGTCTGAGATGAGAGAGTAGTTTGTCAGCCTGTTCAGGTCTCTCTCGAACCAGTGACCGTGTGCTGAGCGATTCGTACTCCAACTGAGAGAACAGACCACCATTCATCTCTTGAAGGCGACGTGTAAGGACAGTGGGGTCAACAAAACTGCAGAACTGTACAGTGAACGTCTTCATTACCTGTTATGAAGAAGACAGGAAAATAACGACAAGAAAAGCACAAAGTGTGTAAGAAACGAGACAACTAAATCCAAATGAGGAACATGTTATTCAACATAATGAGATCGAGTGTTAATCGAGAAAGGTTTGAAGAGTCTAGTCTAATACAGCATGAGCACATGAATTACACATGATCTAGTAGTACTCTCCACAGAATATACTGTCGCGGACATGGAAATCCAGTCGATTAACCGGGGGCCTGCGTCCTCAGCGCGTAGAGAATGTAAGTCGCTGCATGCAATGCTAGTGCATAATCATGTTGATCGGATACGATGCGACCAGCAGCATGCAGCGCATAACACGTGCTACGGCTGCATGGCCAGCGCCCTGGGGCCGCTAGACGTGCGACCGGATTTCCATGTCCAGTACAGTAGCATGATTAGGTCTTTCTTAAACAGACATGCACACATACCTCCTTCCAGAGATCAATCTCTATCCCCGTGATGGCGCACTGCTCAGTGACAATCTCCCGCACGTTGATGTCAGATGGGCTGCGGGTGATGTCGCTGCTAGTAGTAGCCAAAGTGTATGGCCGGGACGCGGACGCGCAGGCACTTTGCGCTGTGCTTATCAGTGCCCGCTCAAGATTATCCAGCTCCACGCTAGACTCCGCTGCTTCTGCATACGTCCGCTGAACAATGGTCACCTGTGTGCTTGTTCTAAAGGGGGGCACACAGTTTCACAAAAAAAGACATGCGTTACGTTGCCTGCACTGTACCTGGCTATCATTAACATGTTTAGGCCAACATCACATACTAGTTGTGTGGACATCTGACAACTGAACGTTTTTCATGTGATGACTACATCCAACTCTACCCACGTCACCACTAATGTGGACACACGCACACATGACCAACACACGTATGTGCTCACGCATATACACGCAGACACACACACTATACATATACATCCACATATAACCGTAATTACGAAAGAGAGAGGTGTCCAGTTGAAAATACTACTATGTTCTGACTCAAAGTTTCATTGGCAAAGCAATCACCAGACAACCAAGATGCCAAGCATGAAATACTCAAACCGGACCCCTTCTCCCCCCCCCCCCCCCCCCACCCTCTCTCTCTCCCTCCCCCCCCCCCCCCCTCTCTCTCTCTCTCTCTCTCTCTCTCCCTCTCTCCCTCTGCACAAAATGCACACACACACACACACAGAATTTTTACTTGTCCTTGCTGAAGATGACTAAATTGGCTATTGAACCGTCCAACGGCCGACACCCCCTGAAATCCCCAAACTATGGGTGGACTTGGAAAAGGATCCTACTTATGGGCTCACTACACCTCAGCAAGTGGGTGAGGACAAGGTGCAGAAAAGGATTGACGGCACACGAGTATCCGTCCTGGGCTCCAACTGCATTTACCCCTGCCCCCGGTGGATGTACTACTCGCTGCTAGTGTGTGTGTGTGTGTGTGTGTGTGTGTGTGTGCGTGTGTGTGTGTGTGTGTGCGTGTGTGTATGTGTGTGTGTGTGTGTGTGTGTGTGTATGTGTGTGTGTGTGTGTGTGTGTGTGTGTGTGTGTGCATGTGTGCCAGCTAGTTCGGTTGGTGGGTACACTTATGCCTGATTGTGTTGGGTCTGTTGCCAACAGGCTCGGCTGCTTGAACGTGTAATGTTGTACCTGCCACCTTTGTTGGTTCCAGGGCTCATATACTTTCTATTTGAAGTATACAGACCTGTTAACCATGGACTGCTTCTGGCTAGATTAACTCTTGTGTAATCAATGGTGCTAGTGAAGCTTGTATCAGATCCACTCTGATTGAGCCACCCACACTAGTAGCAAATATTACCTTCACTGGGGGCAGGGGTAACTGCAGTTGGATCCCCGGACGGATACCCTGATGCCGTCAATCCTTTTTCTGCACCTTGTCCTCCCCCACTTACTGAGGTGTGGTGAGCCCATAAGTGGGATCATTTTCAAGTCCACCCAGAGTTTTGGGGATTTCAGGGGGTGTCGGCCGTTGGGGGGTTCAATAGCCGATTGAGTCATCTTTCCAAGATTCCTTTTGAGTCTCTCTCCCCTCTCCCGGGGAGACCCACGTGACCAGTTTTGGCAGTGAGCAACAAGTACAAGTACAAGTGTGTGTGTGTGTGTGTGTGTGTGTGTGTGTGTGTGTGTGTGTGTGTGTGTGTGTGTGTGCGCCACCTTCCATTGATCTTCAGGATGGAGGAAGCTTGGAGGTTGTGGAGAGCTTTACCTATCTTGGCAGTGTCCTGAGTGCAGACGGTGCTCTGGACAAGGAGCTCACCTCCCGCCTTGCCAAGGCCTCTCGTGCTTTTGGCGCTCTCCAAAAGCCAATCTTCGGGTGTAGCGGCCTATCCATCAAGTCTAATGATAGCTTGCATAGACCTCGGTCCTACCGGTAGGACCTACCGGTAGGACCATCATACACAGACATGCTGCATGGCCTCCGTTCTAACATTGACCTAAAACTTGACCCTAAACTGTTGCTCAGGGGCTAATGAAGGAGTCCACAAATTTTAGACGTGATCGCACAAGGCATAGTACGAAATTCCATGGTAACAGCAAATGGTAACCATGGGAACGGTGTATGGAATTATGCATTCCACTGCCTTGGCAGACTAATAAAAACATTAGTACCTCACCACGATTGATGTACCATGGTCAAAATTCACTTTGGACAGAGTTGCTAGCGCTCCGACAGGAGTATGTGCGGCCATTTTGACAATTGATAAAATTGCGCGTATGCAATGCACTGGACATAGCCTTGCATTTTGCGCTATTACTTTGCCTGACAAAGACCTTATCTCAACAATTGTTTCAAGAAATTTCTCAACCAAAAGCACTTTTGCAGCACAATTTCTTGGGTCCTACCGGTAGGACCCGTGGTCCTACCGGTAGGACGGCATGCAAGCTATCACTAAGCGTCTTGTCTACAAGGCCATTGTCCTCCCTACCCTTTTCTATGGAGCAGAGACTTTGCCCGTGAAGGCCCGACAGATGAATCGCCTGAATCTGTTTCATCGCTCATGCGTCCGTTCCATCTTGGGAGTCTCAACGAGCGGTCAGCACTCCCGTCATCTTACTACTGCTGATCTAGCCCAGAGAGCGGGTCTTCCTGAAGACCTTGGCACTCTCCTGCGTGAGTACCGTCTGCGTTGGCTGGGTCATGTTGCCCGTATGGACGCGGCCCGGATTCCTCAACAAGTGTTGTTTGGGGAGCTCAAGGCAACCAGACCACGGCATGGGCCAAGGAAGCGTTAGCGAGACACGATTGTCGGTGATCTGCGCTCACTGAATATTCTGGAGTCCGAGTGGTATCGGCTCGCACAAGATCGCCCGGAATGGCGCAGGCGGGTCCATCAACATCGTCTTCCTCCCCCGGCACCGAAGGACTTTCACTGCGCATGCGGCAGAGCGTTTAGGAGAAGTGGCGATTTAAAGCGTCACATCAAGTACTGCCCAACTCAGTAGCCTATCATCTCCACTGGAGATGGGGCGACAAAGGTCAAAGGTGTGTGCGTGTGGCTAATTCATGCAGAGTGGATCTGATACCAGCTTCAATAGCATCATTGGCTAAGGAAGACACACGCACGTGCACATACACACGCACGTGCGAACACACACACACATACACACACATACACGCACGCACACACACACACACACACACACACGTACATACACACACATACAAACAGAAATACAGAATACTTACTCGGCCATGCTGCCTTTGAAGAGAGGTAGGTTGTCAGCAGCCATGTCTGTACGTATCAAAAGAATGAGAAAGTATAGTTTTGATACAATGATACAGCCACAGGTAAAACTGAGGGCCACATCTAACACAGGACATGTGGAAGCAGCTTTTGATTGGTCAAGCTATACCGGCCGAAGTCTTTTTTTAACTCTTTGTGTATGATATTGCGGTACACATGACCTTCTCAGCAGTAAAAGTGACGCTTTGGTCGCCAAACAGTTGATCCGGCAATGGTCACGCAAACCGTACTGGGTTCTGCCGTCCCTATAACACCGAGGGACGTTCGGACATTGATATAATTACTACCGTAAAAGCCATACACACACTTGATGAGAGGAATCAAAAGCGTTTCTGCTGCGACTCTGTCTGAGTTTCACAGTTTTAAAGGGGTAGTTAACAAATTTTCACCAGTTGTAGTCTTCAGGGTGCTGAGTCGAATGGTCTTGGTCCGAGGAAGCTGAGACGCTCCCTTCCTCTTTTATTTCCAATCGAACTTGCGCGCTTCCGCCGAAACTGGGTGACTGTGCCCTACTAGATGGGGATTTGTATGCAAAATGTCACTAAGAGCGATTGGCCCATATGTTGTAGTCTTTTGGACGCTGAGTCGACTGGTTTTGGTCCGAAAAAGCTGCGATGCAGCGTTCGGGCCTTATTCCCAATCGAACATGGTTGAACAAGCAGTCACGTGCTCCTGCGTACACCAGTCGCCTGGTCAACGTCAGTGTCTGCTCCAGAGCCGGGTGAGCCGGGTAATCCACCCGGTTGGGCGGCGCTTGGACCCGGCTGAAAATATAGTACCAGGTCACCTGTGACCTGGTTGGGACTTTACACGTTCGAACTTTGAAAAGACTTACTACATGGCTTGTATGTGTGACAGATCATGCAGAGGCGCGCGTCGAAGTGAAAGTAGTCAGTAGAGAGGTTTCGCTTCACGTTGTTCTACACTACACCGTGAAACTCGCGTTCACGTCGAAAGTGAGTTGACCTCAGCTCACGTCATGAACGGGAGTTTCGACGCCAAAATGTGCCACACCGACGTGAAATTTCACAGTGTAGTGCAGAACAACGTGAAGTGAAACCTCTCTATTATCCGGTGTGTGCACTTGCTCAATTCAAGCTTGATCGTTGAGGTGTTGTTTTTGGAAATGGAGCATCCAGCAAAGAGGCGAATACAAAGGCCCTGCTTCCAGGACTCTAGGAAAACAGGTCGTCGTGGTGAGACAGCGCCAGGTACATGTGTACCCGGCTCCGACCCGGTTGAAATGGTTGCGCAAGGTACACGTGTACCCGGCTGTCCTGCAATCCTAGAGCAGACACTGACCGTCCGTGCAGGGTACAACTAACAGCCTGTTTGGGTGCATTCCTGTCACTCGAGTTGAACTTGAGTTGAACCTTGGTGTGAAAGTTGTCGCCTGCTGGCGCGACGCAGGAGCACATGACCGCCTGTCCCACTATGTTCGATTGGGAACAAGTGCCGAACGCTTCATCACACGCTTGTCCGCATGAAGGATCTCTAGCTTCTCTCTTAGGCACAGAGGATAGCACTTGGTTATGTTACTGTAACCTGGGGTCTGGGCGATAACTGATCACCCTATACTGTAGTGGCTATTTTAACACTTCAGGTTCCAGACACACTTTGATAGTTCCACGCTCTTCTCATGTCTGAATGATGTTAAATGGTTGCCGTGTCTCTTCTTGAATGGTGGCTCCGTAAGACCCATATACAGTGTACTCCTTCTGTCTGTCCTCTCCGGTTACTTGGGCGGTTGCCTTGTACACAATAGAGCTGATTTGGCAGTTGCCGTCCATTGGTCCCCATGTTTCGTCTCTGCAGTTGAATCGTTCTTCCTTGGGTTGTCTGTCGTTGTTTCTACTCTTCCGTTTCACTAAGTTGTTGTGTGACTTGATCGTTGCAAACATATTCGGCATACAACTATAGCCTACTTAAACTGTTTTCCGGTTGAAGATATTGTGTAGTCTTCAGGAAGACAGTAGCCACAAACACCGGACGGAGATTACTACGACTAATCGAAATACACTTCCCCGCCCGAACCAGACTACAGGACAATTATGTTGTCGTAGAGCATGAGACTCTCAATCTCAGGGTCGTGGGTTCGAGCCCCACGTTGGGCGCCAATTGTCGTCGGGGGGTTTTATTCCTCGGCGATAGCCCTTCCGATTACTCTCTTAGTCATACATCACACGTACGCCACACTCAGAGGACAGATTTTTAGTCTTACTCCAAGGAGAGTCTCAAGAAGAAGGCACCCAAAACAACCAGAATGCGCACGATTAGCATGCACGCATGCGCAACCTGCGCAGTCCGCACACCGACCACGCGTACCCAGCACACACGTGCCAAAAGGGGCACATACCCTCCAAAAGGGCAGGGACATCAATTATCTCCAATACCCGGAATTGGAAACAACGGTCACCTCGATCTACTGTGCACCCCGAGTATTAGTCGAAATATTACTTCTCTTTTGCCAACTTTGTGGAAATAGAGACGTCATATGCCATATGTCTGGTCCTTCCTCATTGAAGCGTATGTGATTCAGAAAAATTGGCACAATTCGATGCCAGGGGCAGTGTGCCCGGTCCCGAACCACCCGGATAAGCGTGATAATTATGAGTGCATTCCGTACTATTCACCAATAAGAAAATCCATAACCTGTCGATGGAGACATTAAGCAGGGAAGCCGGAAGATAAATGCATACACGTTTGAAAATTACGGATGATGGCCTGCTCACCAGATGCAGAGCAAGTAGCAGCTTCAGGCTCATGGTCGGGCAATGAAGCCTCGTCATGTACTGTTCCTTCAGACGTTTGATGTGGGGACTGTAAACAATGGAAAACAGTCAAACACAAACAAGTTCAACGGATCGATGCCGCTGAGCACAATCATTATCACTGTATGGTGCTAGAGTTACTTGTACTGAGTACAAAGGGGCTTCCAGGGCTCATCATGGTTTGTTTGCTTTTGATGTACTTTAGGTTGTTGCCTCAACAGTACAGTGTACAGCTTGAAAGAGGGCCGAACAGCACACAAAGTAACCCGAGGAATGCTGCATGTTCTTTTTCATAGCATTCCCTTCGAAAACTCAATAGCTCATCCAATAGCAGTCGGGCTCACGAGACTGACGTACTGATGTGCTCCCTCGCTGCGCTATAGATGCAGCAGGCTTGCTCAAAAAACTCAGGACTGGCTCGTTTCACCGCCAATGACTCATCAGGAACTCAATGTGATGCCAGCATAATTCTCTAAAATTCTTTTCTGTAGCGAAAAACGCATGCTGGCGTGAACTATTGATCGAGCTAACGAGCTGATACCATTGAGTGTGATCACACTCTGGCTACGGAATTAGCACAAGAGACAAGTCTGTATTACCAACACTTATTTAATGCCCTTTGCTGATATCTACATTGAAGAATTGCAGAGAGAGATTTCGAGATTACGTTACCATTGATGGCCTGTGCTGTTCTGGCATCACCATCACTGAGTTGCTACTCAGAATACGGTGATGCTGGTCACATGACTATTACCGTATTTTACCGGTAATGAGTCGACCTGTTTCGATTAGAAGTCGAAGGAGAAAAGTTGAGGGTCGTTGAGCGCGGGATGCACAATATCACTTCTGCGATGCGATGAGCATCGAGCGCAAGGCGTTTTCGAATCGCGGGAAGAGTCTTCGATGTGCAACACAAGGCACATCGCAGCAAAATCCCGCAGGGCACGCACAGTCCAAAACTGTACTTGAGCTGTCACGTGGGTCTGCTGTGTAGACAGTGATGCGCATTGCTCATAGCAGAAGTTGAACTGGGCTCAACTTCCCGCGATGCGACCTGCGACAGAGATGCGATAAACTGCGATTCAAAATTTAAAATTTTGAGGAAAAAATTCTCGATCGCATCGCTCGTCGCTCATCGCGTCACAGAAGTGATATTGTGCATCGTGCTTTACAACCGGGATTCGACTTATAACAGGGAACTACCGGCAACTGCCAAAAATGACCTGCACTGTATGCACGAGTGCGCCGTGTGTACGCCTTTTTTTTACTGCCGCGAATGCATATTCTGTCACTCATGTTCCCATGCATTTCCTGTACCAGTCGATGTGCATGCCTGCATGTGGTACTTGTGGTTCTCTGGTTCACTTTCTAATTATTACTACCTGTACACCCATGGTTACGCTATTTCCTTGGACTGTACGAGCTGGATGTGCAAACAAGCAAAGTTTCTGTGTGTGTGGGTGGGGGTGTTGATGTGCGAATGGGTTTAGTTTCTGTATGTATGTGTGTGTGTGGGGGGGGGGGGGGGTGGCGGGGGAGAGGTTGTGGATGTGCGACAGAGACAAGTTTCTTTGTGCGTGTGTTTGCGTCGGGGGGGGGGGGGGGGTGCAAACGAGATGAGTTTCCGTGTGCGAGCGTCTAGGTATGGGGGGGGGGGGGAGGGGGGTGTTGATGAGGAAACAAGGTGAGTTTCTGCCGACCGAGCTAACCGAGCTGCTCGATCAGTTGTTTCAACATTATTAATTTTATTGCTTACCTCCCCTTCTTTCCTCCTCCGCTTTCTGTGATTGCCCTCGCAACTTGGGTCGTCATGCTTTCGTCGCATCTGCTGGTCCATTCGTAAGGTTAGACGGAGCTTCTACCGTCTCAATCTAATGACACTGCGATACTTTCCTGTGCCAAGCGAATTTGGAATCCGCTGAAAAGGAGATTGAGAGTGCCACGTTTTATCCACCTACAAGATCACATCAAAGTGGTAGTGACATAATATTATTCCCGTAGCTATGCAAAGGACGCTATTTTAGTAGCGTCTGGCGCTAGCCAGGGTCCACACTGCTTCATTTCGGTGTAGGTATGTGTGGTGGGGCCTTTGACGTGACGCACCATGATTGGCGCGGTATACCGTATGTGTCCCGTACCATAATGAGTATGTGTTAGGGCGTACCGTACAATAGATCAAGACATGAAACTTTTTTGCAATACAATGATGTAGCCGATGATTGTATTGCAAAAACGTTTCCATCAGTTCGAATAACAAGCATGATGACCTATGCAAAAAAGCATAACGAGGGCCCTGAGCGTTCAAGCTCTCTCGTTAGTAGTAGTAGAATATTATGAAAATGGGGTCATCTCCATGCTCATTTTAAAATATTTCTGCGATTACTTTTCTACAGTGCTGCTCAAAGAAATCGGATCAGGCGAGTCAATGCCACGCTGGGCGCTGAGCAGACCCAGACATGCGAACACTGCGACGTGAACTGCTCCAGAGTACAAACTTGATTCAGGTGATTGGATTTCAGTGAGCAGCAATGTACACGCACAACCATTACAGTAGTAAGATTTCTGTTGAGATTTTCTCTGCTCTGAACAATGAAGTATGTTTTTCAAAGCAGTCAATTAATTGATCATGGTACTTTTTATAAGACGATCATTTTTTATATCTAAGTTTCGCGTCAGTTCAACTTCCAGAATCATATGCGAGAGGTGGAAAATAAATAAATAATAAAAAATAATAAAAAGGCTCATCAGGTATAGCACTGTACATAGCACAATACCTTGTGCATGGTGTGCATTCGAAAGAAAAATCCTACATCCACGCACAACATCTGGGTTATCAGCGTGAGTAAATATTCACTTTGGACAGAGGCAATCGTTGGTGCCCATGCTTCGCTGGATTATTGTACTCAGACTTCAGCAGCGGTGCAAAGAGGTCCAGAGCGACGCATCCTCTCAGCTTGAGGCGAGCGATGCGGTCTGGTGTAAGCTCATAGAATACTGCTCGCAGATGCCGAACAAACGATTTACCAACGCTGGCCTCGAGGCCATTTCTGAATCCCAGCTTCGCCGTATGCAACCAGTCGACACTGATGATTCGCACAATCGTACACTCACTGTGCATGTTCGATTTTTTTATTTTTTTCCGAAAAAAGGCAAAACGTATGCGTGCGGACGACGCGAAACATAGATACAAAAAATGATGGCCTAATGAACAGCATAAAAATGGAAGAACGGTCAAGGATGAGAAAAGTGTAAAAGAAACGTCAGTGTGCGACAATCTAAGTGTAGAGTGTGAGAAATGTGACATTCTTCTTCTGAATGCAGAAGTCAGGCTTGTGTAAGTGGATGGACACAGCTTCCAGCACCGATACGAAAATACACACACCCTTTTAGGCCTATAGCACGGTTGTTCAAATTGCAATTTTTGTAACTATAAACTTACAATTACTGATTACTAGTAGGGCATTGTAGGACATTATAATTATTGGTTCGTTCTCTCAATCACTACTCCATATAAATTTCGCTGATGACCATCGAGGAAAAACGAATTTCTTTTAGCATAATTCTATTTCTAATATTCTATTTCATTTGTTCATCATTGTATTATGTCGGCAACATTTTGCTCTATTCATTGCTTTGTTGAAACTTCTTTGTCCGAAAAGTCTTTTTGAAATCAATTTCCTTACCGTAAGCTCGGCCCAGCAGAGTAGGAGCGTGGTTGAGTTTTCAGTCGACTGCTAGTAGCGCCGGTAGTTCTCACCAGAGTCACTCGCTGTTGTTTCCTGCTCCAGAGCCAGGTACAAGCACATTGCTTGGGCCGATCCGAAAGAGACCACACTGCCTATTTGGGGTTTTCCGCCCTCTAAGGTTCGGTACTATTATTATTGTAGAGGCAGGAACAACTACATCCTTTCCTACGAAGCACTTAGCAGTAAACCATGGTAAACAGGCTAGCCTAAGTAGCACCAAACACAAAACTCCAAAATAGCCAACGACGTCGACAGAGGATCGATCTATCTACTGACTCTGTTGTGGACATGGAAATCCAGTCGTGATGACCGGCGGGGCTGGCGCCCTCATGGCCTCAGCTCAGCGCGTACAGAACGTAACCTGGTAGATCTACCGTCGTTGAGTGCACATGCCATGGACGGCACGGTGATCCGCCGAAGCGACTGTACTAGCGCGCTGCAGCGCATAAAATAAAAACTGCAAAAAAAAATGTTGTACTTGTACTTTAGAGTCTGTACTATACTAGTACAGTACGAGTACTACTACTCGTCTACTGTAGTCAACAAACATTCGGCGCATATTTTTTCGGCTATTTTCATTCATGTACGTACACCATGGTACACTGTACTAGTGTTTGGCCGAAAATGTGTTGCGGTCGAAATTTTTTTGCAAGGTATGTTCAGTGTGACAGTGTATACATGTAGACAGGCGGCAGCAGTACAGGCCGAATTTGATGCGGCCGAAATTGGTTTTTGCCCTGGGAGGACAAAATTTGAATAGGCCGAAAATTTGTCGACTTACTAAAATTAATAATTAGATATACTGCATGCTTACTCACGGCTAAATGGCCAGCGCCAGCGCCCTAACGTAAAGGCTGAGCCGCTAGACGTGCGACCGGATTTCCATGTCCACGACAGTAGCTACATGAACTGCTACCCTGGCCGGGACGGCCGCTGCACAAATTCCGGCAATGCGGATCTTCAGAATACAGCTGTGGAGACTGGGGAGGTATATTATGTATCAGATTGCAACGACCAGGAGGCTGAAAATAGTGGCTGCAAATGACCGATATCCGTCACTTGCAGCTCTGCATCAGAGGTAGGCACCGGCGGATTATGCCGGCATAATTATTGGCATAATTTGATGGTTGAACATTTGGAGCATAATTTGGCATCCTCTCGGAGGTAGGAGCATAACTACATTGTATATGGTTGTACCAGAGTTCTAGTAGGTAGGCTACACAATTGTGTACAATGAATGCACCTGCTCAGTGCTGGTGGCCTGCATGGTAAAGGGTTTGGAGGTCATGCAGGTAGTGTTTTCAATGAAAAGCAGGGTAGGAATCCTGGCAATACATTATTGTGTGCTCGAACTCGTCTTCTTCAAAGTTCTTTCTCACACTGATACAGTACATGTTGCAGACGATGCGAGTGAATCAGCCTTTATCAGGTAGCATCGGCCTGGGGCGGACGAGATAGTGACGGGTAGTCCGCAAAACTCCGCGTACATGTACATTATGCAGTCATGACCCGTCAGTCAGTATTTTAGCAGCCATGACTGTGCAGGCTATGGATATTGCTCGGTATAGTTGGTGCTCGGTCTTGATGGAAGGAGAGGTGGAGCTACGAGAGAGATGAGCTGGTTATTCGCAGGGTGAGGGTGACATTGGCTGGACGAGTATGACGATTACGAAGACAGTTGAACATGATAATTTTCAAAGGTAACTCAAACTAGTTTGGCAATGAGAAAATCTTTTTATAAAAGAAGTCAACAATGAATAGAAGAGTATTGACTGTTTTCTCTTTTCCATGTTGTAAATTACTAGTACTAGTATGCCATGATACCTTGGTATGGAGATACTCGTGTAACATTTTGATGTACTTACATGTATGGCCACTTGCAAGTACGAAAAAGGCACAATTTTCCGAACTTTGAGGCTCCATAAGTGCAACAAAGTGAATATGTATCCACGCGTGTCAACGCATAATATGAGGATTTTCCTAGCATAATGCGAGAATCCAAGAAAGCATAATTCCATGATTTCGCGAGCATAATCCGCCGGAGCCTAATCAGAGGCCTGTAGCTGGCCTGAAGAGTTGTAAAATTACTCCTTCGTAGCCGGGGGAGTCAGAGCGAGGGCGATTCACGGCTTGGTCAAAAAACTGTCGGCCTGGAACGTAAACGTGGATCTGCCGACACAGTTCACCTGGTTCACGCGCCTGACCTGGCATGCTGCCTTGCGTGAAAGGAACATTTTTCCGAAAGCAAGCTTCTTCTCCAAAATTCGAAATTTCCTTCCAAAAAATGCCGTCCTCCTTGACCTCGAAGCTGAATGTTGTTAGGATAGAAAATTAGCGAAGATGTAGCCGACCCATTCTGGCAAGCCGTGTGCCCTCTGGATATGCAGTTGTTCGCCATGGTCAACAATCTTCTTCTCCTTCGTTCGTACTTTCACTTTCCTGACCACGAATACAAGCGGTACCCATGCTCAGGTTAGTGTTTATTTGTCTGTCTATGCACATACATGTAATACAATGCACTGTTCGTGCTGCAGGCACTGGCCGATCATGGAAATAGAGGAATCAGCCAGCTTTCTTTGAATTCTCATCCAGTCAAGAAAAATATGTACACACTTTCCTTGGCTCCTTTTTCCCACCGCCACCATGCGCATGCATGCACTGCTTTTCAAATTTGTGTTTGCTTTGGCAGTGGTTTCATGGGTATCCTTCAGCCTTCCCTGGCATTCAAAATTCAGAATAGTTTCCACCCAGGTGCTAGTGCCTCTGTTCTGCTTAGCACATTGTAGTAAAATTATTTGCAACAGTGTCCACCCCTCCACACTGCACTCTTGGTTCACATTCACCACACCATAGCGAGGAAGTTTGTTCTTGGATAGATGTCTGGAGGATGTAGAGCATCTATCCAAGAACGAACTTCCTCGGTATGGTGTGGTAAATGTGGGCCTAGAGCGCAGTGAGGAGAGGTGGACAGTTTCAAATTAGTTAGCCACATCCGATCCTTTCTCCGATAGTTATGGACATTTTTTACTATAATATGACATTGAATGGCCACTCATGCTTCTATCGAGAGGTAACACCACTCAGGAAACTGAGGAAAGCCAACCGGTGTTGCACAGGATTTGAGGTTGGGAAGAAAAGATGTTCCGATAAAAGAACTGCGAGTACATGGGAAACGTATTATGGAAAGGGCAGTCTGAGTCGAACTAGGATCTCCTGTTCCAGACTGTACCGAAAGCGTGAATATGAATACAGTAGAGTGCGGATAATCCGAACAATCACTTATCCGAAATGCCAGTTTCCATTGAATTGAAGGGACAACCCCAAGCACCATTCAAGCGGTGCACAAGATGGTTTGCAACAGGTTGGAGCAACAATGTATCACCGTAGAGTCATATTGAGGAGCTAGAGTGTGTCTAATTCCTGTGAAGAAATGATGGAAACGTGAAGGAATGTGGAAGTCTTAGATGGATGTGTGATTGCTCCCTTATCCGAATTTTTCCCCATCCGAACCCCCTGGAGAAAGCGTGCGCCCGAGGAGTGCGGATAATCTACACTCTGCTGTAACAGTTATGCACAATGCGTTTCGATGCACATTGGACAACGTTGCAAATGTAGAACTGTAGGTGGACTGTGGTTCACATTAGACGATCGGAGTGCCCCCACCAAACGAAGAGTGCTCAACATCACAAGGTAGAGCTTGCATATACAATCAAAAAAGAGTACATAACATATACCATTAGCTGATACTGTTAGTGTGCATTACGAAGTCTGAAGAAAATCTTGAACGATCTCGGCTGGGATGACGGCTACACGTTAGCTCAGTGATTAGAGCATCGCTGGCCTCAAGCGAAGGTCCCTGGTTCGAATCCTGGTGGTGACAGTCAATTTTTTCTTCAGACCTTTCCCGTTTGTGTCTTTCCCTCAAACCAGTGAATATTACTGTTAGCTTCGTACTTTGAGTGATTATCACTTACAGTTACATACCGTAAAAGCCCCTGTATACGCCCACTCGAAATTACGCCCACCCTCCGTGTACACGCCCAGTCAGGGAAAGTCAACACGTTTGTTTCAAAATAGCGCCCATGCCCATGTATACGCCCAGGTATGCCAGAAACACCAGTACATGTACAGGTACTGATACCCAATACTTTGCTGCTATCCCTATTCCAAGTATACACCCGGTTCCAAAATAACGCCCGTGCTCTTGTATACGCCCAGGAAATCGAGGCTGCTATTCTATACGCCCGGGGCCTATACACGGGCTTTTACGGTATACTTGATAATTTCTTAGCGCATGAAAATCGGAGTCAGTACCACAATATTCCTCCCTCACTATATGAGTCTAGATACACTTTTGAATGTGGAACAGGGTCCAGGACAGGATCGTCTGCTCTATCCGAATTATGGCCTGGTTGCAATTTGTCTATTTGCCAGCAGGTACATCGCACCAGGGAGTCATAGCACCTACACTGTAGGGAGACTACACAATACTTTATAGAATTTTGGGTCTGGATTTGGAGGTTCTCCGTGATTTGTGCAACCCGCGATCACGGCCTTGACCTACTGACCCTGAGAACGGCCCAGATTAGCAATGCCATGTACGAGCGTGTACAGATCTGCCCAATGGTGCCCCCAGGGTGGCTGAAACAGGAACCCCTGGGTCGAACGCCATGTCATTTAGCTTTACAGTCGCCTGTGCCGTCTACCTAGATGCTACAACTCCCTGCGCTGCACGCAGCAAATGCAGCACATCAAGTATACAGCCATGTAGTGTTGGATGTCACCTGTTCTGATCGTGTGATATCACAAACAATCTTCTACGATCCATTCATTTGAACCTGGCACGTTAGGGGCCGTCCATAATTATCTATCTTTAACACGAAATGAGAAAAAATCGTTCATGGGCGGGTGGGTCAAGAAGGGTTTTGTAATGAAAAATATTGATAGCTGAAACACTAGTCCATTCCAGCTATTTTTCGTTGAGGGGTGGGGGTGGGGGACGGTCACAAGTTACTCATAACTAAACTGTTCATTTCGTGAAAATTATCAATAATGCCGGGTCCATAATTGTCGATCTTTTACACGGAGAGAAAAAGTTTCGTTTGTGGGTGGGTCAACGGAAGTTTCGTTTCGAAAATATTGATATTACAGACATCAATACAGGGGGTGGGGGTATAGGTATAGGTGGGGGGTGGGTGGAGGAGGATCCTTCTTTCATTTCGTGAAAATTATCGATAATGCTGGATAGCTCCTTAGTCTTTGCAATAAAATAGTTGTTTTCTTCACACAGTACCGTAAAGTTTAAACAATATCCAGCCAGGTTTGTACCGAACATTTTTTCGAAAGGTAATTTCTCAAATGTTGCCTTGAGTACGTTCTCAGCAACATAGCGGGCCAGTTTCACATACTCTAATTTCAGAAATTTTAGGTGCTCAATATTTTCGGTATGAGAGCAAAAGGCCAGGTTAGGTGAACAGATAATTTAGGTACAGAGAAGCAGTTCTCTATCGGATTATGTGTTAGGGTTTGTTCGGTGTATTGAAATTTTAGGTATGAAACAGACGCACCGAAAGTACCGAAAATAGAAGTACACTTAACATTTGTGAAATTCCAGTAATTGGACTGCAAACGTGCATCGCTGGTTGTTGCAGCTCCATCACAGGCGTATCACGGGAAATTGAGTCCAGCTCCACTTCTAGGTTGGGTGACACGTGATGGGCATCACTTCCTGCATGCTGGTGCATGTGACTCAAGAGCTCTGGCTGGCAAGAAGTTTTAGACTGCAGGTGCAATGCAAGATTTTTCTGCGATGTGCTATGCATTGTGCATTGCATTTCTCGAGAGACACTTCACGCTATGTGAAAAAAAGAATTTCGCTCGATGTGGTATTGTGCATCGGGCAGTGCAACTTTCCCACAAAACTGGACTCAAAGCGCCTTATAGCTGTGGTTTACAGCAAAGATTTTCCTATTTGCGACTCTTGGTTTAATGAGTGCAGTAGCATGCATGTGCCTGGTGATAATGGATCATAGTGAGGGCATAGCAGTACTTGTGCACTGATAGTTGGTATTGACATGAGTACATAACCAAGAGTGGGCAACTCGATGATCCCTCTGCCCATGGCAGAAAGTTTCATCACTTCGGTTTTTGTGGGCCATTGGGCTCACTAATACCATCATGCGTAGCCAGAGATCAAAACTTGTACATCACAGCTACGGTAGGTGAAGCAGAACAATAAACTGTGGATCCATGCCTACTGAACCTTATGAAACACTTTATCTACATGGCACATGTAGAAATATATGCGCGCTTGCTCATAATCATTTGATTTCGAAGCCGTTCGTACCTTATGTTAGTAGTTGCACATTCTTAGTAGTTATGCAGTTTGATAATAACGTTACGATAGATTATCAATACTGGTGGAAACGTTATGCGGGTTGCATAATTTTTTACCCGGTGTGCCATGGCCAGGCATGCTAATTCATCGGATATTAGCAAGTTTGCCTGCCTGCTGGGTGTTGTATCTTAGCTTCACTGTACTACAAATACGATATGCTTAGTTTTCCTAAATTGCTTCATTATAACATTCAGTTTGTTTTGCTGCAATCTTTTCACGTGTTTTGCAGGATTGTAGCCAAGGGTGAATACCATTATCATGAGCGAAGGTCTCTGAGAACCCATGTCTGAAAGCTGGTCATGTTGGCCCAACGCTGACTCTCATTGTCTGTATCCGCCACCTTCATACTGGAATGAACTGGAACATGTTCACTCTCTGTTTCTCATGTGGAAGGACGGAACAGATTGTTTGTCTGTCTCTGTGGATCACCGAAGGCTGAACAGTACAGTTGGAAGAATATTGGATCTCACGAAGTGCCTGAATCTGAAGCGGCTGACATGCATCTGCACAGCGCTGTCTTTCTGAGATTTGCTTCAAGGCAGGTTATTGTGTACAATTTTGTCCACAGTATTCCAATATTTGCCAAACGTATTTCTCTGATAGTATTGCGACTACACACGCGCAATGATCTCTCCGTCATCAGTCTTTCGCAATGATGTGGCTCACTGATGACAGCATGCATAGCCATAGATCAAATGAGCAGCTAAGGTAGTTGAAGCAGAAGAATGGATCAATGCATCCTGAACCTTGTGTACTGCCTATATGCACTCTCAGAAGTATTTGTAACGTGTTAACTATGAAGTATCAACATTGCTTCTCTTCTATGTGGGTGGTGTGAGTGATGTCAGATGATCTGTACTGCCATGGCCGATGGTGTTCACTGGAAGATGTTGGGTTGGGCCATTGAGCCCTCTTGCAATATGCTGTTGCAGCCTGAAGGCACTGAAAACGTTCGAATGCTGATCTGCTTTCAAGCGTAGAATGTCCCATTGTGTGCATTACATATTTGCATAATTATGTTTTGTACTGGAGTGTGAATGTGCGGCAAGGGCGTGCACATGTAAGTATATCGCACTGGAAACAGCCTAAGAGTTCACGTGGTATGTGATAAGTACACTTTTGGAAAGTGCGTGCACAGTCGAATCATGTAATGTTAAAACAGCCTTCGTGCTCCTCCCTGAATGGCTACGCAAGTAGAAATCTCCGGCTTCCTTTGCTTCTTTTTGCTTGAGCTGGCATGGTGGTCGTAGAGTTGGAATTTGTCAAGTATGATAACAATCGTTGTTTGGTCTAGAGACAAGAATGCATTTGGATTTTTGTCCCAGGACTGCATGGCTTCCCAAACTGCACGTTGAATGCCATAGATGATTATTGTTCGGTTCAAGAAAGGACCCGTGGGTCTGTCTGGCTATTGTGAGCTCTCGCTAGTCCATTTCCATAGCACTTGCTCTGGATTCCCTCGTTGGAATACCGTAAAAGCCCCTGCATACGCCCACCCTCCGTGTACACGCCCAGTCAGGGGAAGACAACACTTTTGTTTCAAAATAGCGCCCATGCCCAGGTATGCCGGAAACACCAGTACATGTACAGGTACTGATACCCAATACTTACTGCTATCCCTATTCCAAGTGTACGCCCGGTTCCAAAATAACGCCCGTGCCCTTGTATACACCCAGGAAATTGAGGCTGCTATTCTACACGCCCGGGGGCCTATACACGGGCTTTTACGGTATTCTCCGGTATAGACCAAGAAGTTTAGAAAACCTACTGGTGATATTAGTATGTTATACTAGTTTCTCCGCACTGTACCGCAGCTTTTGTTATCACACACATGTGGGTTATATAGTTTATCTACAATCCAGCATGATGTTCTTCCAAGAACGCCCCCGACCTAGGCCCTCGGAACGACGTTCTTGGGTGTGCAACATCACTTATAGTTCTAAATCTTAGAATGTAGCGCAGGATTTTAGTGATCACGGTTTCAAATGCATGTCATTGCACTCCACCTTTGGGATAAAAGCTTGTCATAAGAGAAGAGCAGACTTAAATAGGCATCTTGTACGCATGATTTCTAAAATGTAACGTCCCTGCCGAAGAGCGTTCCTCCATACTACAGTAGAGTCGAGCGTCCAAGAACGTTGTGTCCAAGAGGTTAGCCCGGGGTGTTCTTATCTTTCAGCTGTCCGGCTGCGCTCTTATAGCATGTTCTTAGAAACAAACAGGTTAGCATCATATGTATCCCGAAAGCTGCCGGATAACCAACACCCCCATTCTTTTAAACTTTAGGCGGTGGCGTTCTTACCGTACTTCCGCACATATAAGCGCATGTGCTTATGTCCGAATATAAGCGCACCCCTCAATTATAAGCGCATGTGCTTATATGTGAACACTATTGGTGAAAAGGCGGGAGCGAAATATACCACTAAGTGGTGTGATGACACCATTGTTTAGGACACAGACAAACCTGTATTGCGCATATAAGCGCATGGGCTTCTACCCGAACATGTTTACACAGCCAAAGATCTTTTTTGCAGCAAATTTTCGCTTATAAGCGCATGCGCTTAGATGTGGGGAAGTACGGTAGCATTTCAGGCTGGACATTCTTGGTCAACACGTTCTTCGGTGCCCGTGTAGCACTGCACATGAAATTCAGCTACTACAACTCTAGTAATATAGTCTTATTATAGATTGCCGATTATCCGAATGATTGATTGACTTGATTGTCCAAACTGCTCAGGCTGCATGGCAGCAGGCTGTCATCAACATGCATCCCATGATAATTTCGAGGAGCTGGAGTGTGTGCCAAAAAGAATGAGAAATGAAAGTATGCATGAGGAAATGAGTATGTTTTAGATGAGTGTTTTCCCACGCCCTTATCCGAACATACATGCACTCGATCGCCATAACCCCTGGAGATGACTCCATGCAAAGAGGAGTGCAGACCATCAGAGCCCACAAGTACTCCCAGGTCCCGAAGCTTTCGTCTCAACAAAGAATCATAATCGACGACTTGTAATGAACTACATTTTGGTGGTATTATACCGTACTTGTTTACATTCAATTTAGGAATGCCAAAAAAGTGGTGCATGTACAAATCAGGGATGGGTACAATACCAACATCTGAGGTGAGTCTATCAGGAAAGTGAATGTCGTCCACTCTATAAAATGGGGTCCCTCAAAAAAGATGTGATTTTGCAGCCATGGACGTTTCCGGCCAGGTGACTGTATATACAGTGATCTAAGTTATGCACAGCTTGACATGAATGATTGGCTGGACACGTCGAAGAGAAGGAAGAGAGAAGCAGACCAACCTTACACCACCTTGAGCTGAGTGTAGTGGCCCAAAACAACAAACTAATTCTGTGTGGCCTTAGAGGAGCTGGGCAAGAGGTGTACAGTGAATTAAACAATACAGTAAACGTGGGAGAAGTGACAAGACTGAGTATGATACACTGTGCCAGCACAGTGCACATACTAGTGCAACTGTTGGCGTAGTTACAGTTAGCCCACACAAGCAGGTCACTCGATTGTAGATACACAGAGCGCATTCTACATCATACAAAACATGTTGAGCTTGGCAGCAGTGGCTGGCATTTACGACATGCACCAATGCCAATGCGCGGCTTGAGCAAATATTACAAGCCTCGGAACACCCATACTCCATTTTAGAGACAGAACAAGGCGATGAGTAAGCACCAAAGGATTATACGAATAGCGACCAGGCAATAATTCAGGCCACTGCTGCTAATCAAGGACTAGCTACAAGTACTAGTATGTTGTCAGTGTACCCTGACACGATGCAATCACAGCGAATGTGATACATGCACATCATGTTGCCTGGTTCTTGGTTAAAAGTTGTATCCTCAATGCTTGAAGTTTGTGGGGTCCCTCCAGCTTCTCAGAGTCCTGCACAAAAAAGATAAAAGCAAGTGCAGGTAGAATAATAGTAAGCTCACATAAAACCTCTTAGTCTTGCTAACGAATTTCGTGATTAAATCCACACCATGGGAACGGGGCTACAGGAAAAAAAAGTTCAACCATAATAATGCAAAAAGGCAACTTTAGCTGATCATATTTTTGGCAGCAACACTATACTGTTTGTATAGGAGAGTTGGCTTGGTGCATTCATGCCAAATGCACTCCCTATAGTATTGTATTACTGTACTTCATCATTTTACTTGGGCATTCATTCCCAGTAGCCCCAATGTCTTCTAACAGAGTGCGCAAGGTACTGCATATTCGGCACATATTTTATTTTCGGCTATTGTCGGCCTGTGCATTTTAATTCGGAAAGTGGTGGGCATCACGCAACTGAATTGCAAATAAAAAGGGGTTTGTCAACTGACAACCGCATACTTTTTCGACATCACTAATAAAAGAATTTTTCGTCCAGCGCATGCGCCAAGAGTGAATAGCAACTGAATAGAGCGGTTGTCATTTCACAACCCCCTTTTATTTACTAGAGGAAACGCAAAAGGTAACAAGATTACGTAACCAAAGGTGAGAAGGCACTGAACGAACTGTCAACCTACGAATACAACCTCAGTGCAACAATGTGCTCTTTCTGCTTACACAAGCAGAAAGAGAAAGAGCACGTTGTTGCCCTGAGGTTGTATTCGTAGGTTGACACTTCGTTCAGTGCCTTCTCCCCTTTTATTTACTGGGCATTTGTAGCCTAAAATTTGTTTTGCAAGGTTCAATGTGACAGTGTATGCAGGCATCAGTAGTACAGGCTGAAATTTCAATGTGGCCGAGATGTGTTTTTGCCCTGGGGAGGCTGCAATTTAAAAGCACCGAAAATTTGCATACTTTACAACACAGTACTGAGCATGCGGTGAGCTGATGACGAAATGAATTGGAGGTACTAATAATGCTAAGGGATTCGGGGGCGCATCAAAGGGGTCAGCACCAAGGAATGGGAAAGGTTTGTGCCCAGTTCGGTCATGTATATTGGGTATAGAACGGAAATTATTGGCTTAGCCTCGGGCGACTCCTACCAGTATTGCCACCAATGGCCCATGGCTGCTGATCTCTGTGATAGAAATGAGACGTGTATGTGAAACCAAAATATGGCTTTTCAAGATGAACTGTAAGACATGTTATTATAACGAGTCGCAAATTTAACGATTGTCCAAAATTCATAGGTTAACGAGAAGATATGTTAACGATCTTGCAGTATTCTGCCATATCCACACACAGCATATATGAAGCAGTACGGACTCAACGGATCTTATTATAACGAAGAAATGTCATCCGTTAAAACGTTAGATTTGCTTCCTCGTTATATACAATCATGTCTTACAGTATGTGCATTTTGTGAAGATCTGATGCAAGTCATTAGGGACACCTTGTTGGGTCTTGCCAACATTCAATTATTATGATGTTCATATCTATGCAATAACGTTGATGGAATTATCAGCAAGAATCAATAACCCCAAGAGTATGCAGCTTTGTACATGGAGTCTGCCACAACACGTTGACCAAAGTACATGAACCTAGACACGAGCTGGGAAATCAGCTGAGCTGCTGCGTCATTTATGATCTGCTATAGTTTCCAGTCTCCATGGAGGTTTTTCTTGGAGACGTCGAATCTACAGTATTAGGTGTGAAACTTTTGTACTAAACCGCAGGAGATAGAATCTATCCAGCTCGGACATCATTTCACTACGTACGGAAGGAAGTACGCCGATCAAAGCTTGCTACACTCAGGAGATAGAATCTATCCAGCTCGGACAACATTTCACTACGTACGGAAGGAAGTACGCCGATCAAAGCTTGCTACACTCCCGTTTAGTCAACTTAACGGCCCAAATAATGCTTGGGTCATGAACTCATCGCTGTTGGTCTTTCGAGGGTGCCTGACAATGGTTGTTAATGCACAGCACCAGCCGGGCCAAATGACAAGATCAGAGACATAGATCTTCCTACGAAGTAGTTCAATTGCTGAAACGTGACTTCTGCAAACGTTATGTAGCAAAAGGAACTGTACTACGGCACTACACGCCATTCACAATAATCAAAAAAGGCCCACTTGACAAAACAGAATTTCATCAACGGAGCCCCGTGATTTTTTCTTCTGTACATAAGTTATGCATTATGGAGTCATAGCATAAGGGAGACGGCACGGTAGACTTTCAGCCTAAATCATAACAAGGGCCAGCCGGGCAGCTCAAAAGAGAGTGCTATGCACTATTGGCAGAGT